CTTGGCCCTGCAGCCACCGACAGCCGCTAACCTAGGACATGAGCCTGGGATTCAACCAAGAGCCTCGTGTGAATTAACCTTAATACTTGAAACCGTCCTGTGAAGGAGTTAACACCCCCGCTTTGCAGATGAGGAGAACAAGGCTCAAGTCAAAGAGGGGTCTGCCTGGAATATGAGCAAGCTGGAACAAATCTAAACTTGCTGGGAGGCTCATGTGACCTTGGGTAAGCTGAGCCTATTTCCTGAGCTGCAAGAACAGGGGAGTGGACAAAACACACTTCTAAGGTTCCTTCCAGCTTCTGTGGGATTCCAGGAATTTAAAACACACACTTCCATAGAATCCTGGAGCTGGATAAGCCTTGGTTGGTGTAACATTAAAGCCGTACTATCAAGATGTTTTATATAAGGGGCCAGAAGTCTTCAGGATTAAAAACAGACATGTCACGTACTTCCACTCTGCTCTGAACCATGCTCAAGTTCATAGCCTCGTCAGTTGAACATTTCCTCACCAACACTCAAAATCCTCCCGGATCAAGAGAATGTGCTTGGATAAGGGAAACGGGTAGCAACCAATATACGGCTAGCTGTTACTGCAGATTTGGACATTTTCAGATTGGGTTCATTTTGTCCTAGTGCTGATCCTCATGACAAGTTCTATAAATTCGATCTCCCAAGTCTTTCCCATCTGTGTTCTAGCAGCCCCTCCCCAACATCACCAGGCACCTCCAGCCAGATCTGTCCAACGGCTTGAAACCCATTGGTGACTTCCCATCCCAGAACCCATACTGAGGTCCATAAGACCCTGCGGGGCCCGGCCCTGCCTGCCTTCCACCAGCAGCGAAGCACTTGACCCCTCTCTATACCCGCCACAGTACCATGGTGTGTGTGTGTGGGGGGGTGCATCTCCCTTGGTTTAAAAGAGTGGAATCTCTCTTCTGTCTGCTGTGTTTCTTCCCTTTCCAAATGTAGGGCATCTCAGAGCCTTATGACATACTGAAGTCGAAATGAAAAGGGGTTAAGGGCAGTGCTGAATAAAGCCAAGTCAAGAGATCCTACGTAAGGGAACTTGTCCTCTTTCTGGAAATCATTATTGCTATTTTCTGGCTGCTTGCCAACCTCATAACTTGAACGCACTACCTACCACTCCTCAATCATAAAATCTCAGGATCATCATAAACCCTCGTTTAGCATGTAATGAACAACACTAAGGATCCCAATTTGGGAGGCAAAGTAAGAATGAAAGAGTCACAAAGTGGTTCTGAGGAGGGACAATCAAGAAAACTCTTTAATGAACTTACAGATTTCTCTGGCTAGATGAGGGCGCTGGTCCTATCCTGTGCTCCACCCCCCAAGGCTGTAGGTTCCAACTGTCATTAGTGCTTCACACATAAAATTATTTGTATTTTTCTTATTGAGGTGGAATTCACATAAAATTAACCATTTTAATATGGATAATGCAGCAGGATTTAGTCCCATTATGTCGTTGTACGACCACCACCTCTATCTAGTTCTGAGCCATTTTCATCATCCTTTGTTTCCTCATGTTTGGACGCCAGAGACCGTGAAGGACTAGTCTTTCCCCTTCAGTTATGAGCCAGTGAACAGCCAGCCATCCCGGGGCACCTGGCTGCCTCAGTCAGTAGAGCATGTGATTCTTGATCTCCGGGTTGTGAGTTCAGCCCCAAGTTGGGTGTAGAGATTACTTAAAATCTTTTAAAGCAAAAGAAAGCCAGATTAACAACCCGGACAGGCTCTAGGATCAAAGCTTCCCAGAGTGGGCAGTGCTTTGTGACGTAGCCAGATGTGTGAGGAAGCCAGTGGGCCTCAAAAGGAGTGCTCTGAATAACAGCATTTCACTCAGAGCAGGGCTGCCCACAGTGTCATTCTGCCTAATTTCTGGGTCAAGGAAGTCTGAGAAACAGGTTTCCGTACTTGGGGACTTCGTGGGACCTTTAGTACGCTAAGGTACACTGTAGCTTAGAGAGGGAAGGGGAATGAGGAAGTCTCAAACTGAACCCATTAGGAAGACCTAAGCCCTGCCCCGAAGATGGTGAGTGGCTCTGGGCCCCAGGTGTAGAAAGAGTCTTAAAGCTCTTGTTTCTTGCCTAGCCATCCTAGGCAGACAGAACTTGGACCCCTCTGTCTACTCCTGGAGGAAGAAATGGACAAAAAATCTCCCTGGAAATGCTTCCCACTTAATGCCTCCCTCCCTTCCCATAGCAGGTTTCAAATGAAGCTATCGTTTGGCTGGTCCGTAAAGAATATGCCACCCAGGGGCGCCTGGGTGGCTCAGTGGGTTGAGCATCTGCCTTTGGCTCAGGTCAGGATCTCAGGGTCCTGGGATCGAGCCCTGCATGGGGCTCTCAGCTCGGCGGGAAGCCTGCTTCCCCCCCTCTCTCTGCCTGCCAACTTGTGATCTCTCTCTGTGAAATAAATAAAATCTTTCAAAACAAAACAAAACAATATGCCACCTACACAACTTTACCCATGTCATCTAACCAGGAAGATGGCCTGATGAGGCTGTTTTGGAGAGTAAGCCAACACCCATGTTCAAAGAGTACTTGTGACCTAAAAGACAAGCTCTAGAGATGGTGTCAGTGGAGACCCACCAACCATTCCATTAGGAAGGGCCAAGAACAAGAGTGTTCCTTGTGGAGCCTGGGATCTGTCCACACGGCTCTGGGATGCCTAGTGTGTTCCACTTACTAAGAATGTAACCTAACACATAATGCAGTTAAAGTTAATTGATGCAAGGTGGGGAGAAGAGAAAGACTGGATTCCTGTCGTATTTTTTGGAGCTCCCTTTCTAAATTTATTGGGTTCTCTTGACAAAACCCAGAAGGCATGGTATCCAAATTGTCATATGACATTATGTCATCATGACAGGACCTACAGGACAAACATTAACAGGCAACCCCTGGCCCAGAAGGGTCAAGTACAAGAAACGCAACCACGAAGAAGATCAAACTAAGGCACTGAAATTCTGGGCCAGGGTATGAGTTCAGAGAACTGGGTCAGGCCAGGACACTTGGTGGCAGAAGATGGGTGGTCCTCATCTATTTTGTCCTGGGTTATTTATGAATTCACTTATTTATTTATTTTATAATTTCATTCAAAATGCTGGAAAAAGAAAGCAATAGAGAAATAACATTGAAAAGAAACAGAATTCAGTAACAATTTGACTTTACATTTAAAGGTAAACTTTTTTAAAAAATATTTTATTTATTTTTTTGACAGAGAGAGACATAGCGAGAGAGGGAACACAAGCAGGGGGAGTGGGAAAGGGAGATGCAGTTTTCATTGCTGAACAGGGAGCCTGATGCAGGGGCTCGATCCCAGGACCCTGGGACCACGACCCGAGCCAAAGGCAGATGCCTAATGACTAAGCCACACAGGTGTCTCTAGACGTAAACATTTTTAAGTTGGCTTTTGTGTCTCCATCCCTTATTTGTGTCTCCATCCCTTAAAACCTATGCTGAAGCTCAAAGTGTGAGCTAGAATAGAGGAAAAAGATGTGGTAGAGCAGGATAAGGTTGCATGCAACCCCTCCATGAGACTGGAGATAGAAAGCACTAGTACACCTGTATGACACAGAGCCTTTGAATGGGCCTGGCCAGGCCCATAGTATGCCACCAAAACCAGAAACTTGAGCGTATGTGCAGTACCCAGTATTTGTCTGGACAGCTTCCTGTTTACCGTTCTGTTTGCTGTTCCTTGTTCTCATCTTACCTGGCTGTCAGATCCAATGGGACCTCTGGGACAAAATGTGTCCCCCCCCCACCCCCAAGCGAAAAGGTCCTGGCCTCCAGTGCCTTCTCCCACTATGTTCAGACAGAGAAAGCAGGACCATCCCCTAGTCCAGCCTCCCCAGGGGGAGAGGTGGATGGATTCCTGAAAAACCGTGCATAAACTGGCCTCGACCTGCAGACCTAAACTTTAAAATGTATTGAACACCTACAAAATTTTACAACTCTTAGACTTCTGATGCCCTGATTGATGGGGCACTCCAAAGAAAGACTGGACTTGACTCAGCACGCAAAGTTTTCCTAAGAGGCCAACCACGAATGATGGTGACATCCCATTTATACTACAGAGTAAGGCCACTGAGGCAAGGAGGCAATGGCTTTGTCTGGAGGGGGAGGGCACAGGGCAGAGCAAATCCAAAATTTCAGCAACCCTGACCTCCAGCCTGAGGACTTTCCTAGGAACTGTGGCATAAATGGTAGAAAGGAGCTGGGGTTTTGGATCAAACGATCCTGGTTTGTGCCCCAGCTCTACAACTTTGTGTTTTGTTACTTAATCTTGCTGAACCTGTTTTTCTCATCCAAAAACCGTAATAATAATACAAGCACCCAGGGTTGTGCTGATTACATGAAACAATATATACGAAACGTGCTTCGCTGCCAGTGGTTTTCAAACTACTGACCACAAAAGCCTACACACACCATTTAAAAATCCTTTTTCACATAAGTCAGTATATAAAATATACATATATAAATATACACAATTGAAACAAAGATTTCACAGAAAGAATATTTACTACTCGAGAGTCACTTAGTATTTTCTATTCATTCTAATTTGTTCTTCTAAATACCGGTTCAATTCACGATATTGTTTTCAGGTTTCCTAACCGGTAACTAGATCATTAAAACAAAACAAAACAACAACAACAAAAAAACTGTTGGAAAGCATACAGTTGTCCGTAATTACGATTACTATGATTCTCTGGTTTAGTCTGATGGCTAGGAATCTTCATCGCTAGGGCAATAAAAGAAGAGGTCAAGGTTATCGGGTCAAGCCCGGGAAAGCCCGTTGCGTGAGGAATAGATCGGCCGCTGTCGAGGTAGGTCTACCCCTGCCCTGTGGAGCTCTGGAGGACAGGAGTGGCCCAGGTCCCTGTCACTCACATCCGTAGCTGGGTAAGCCCGCCCCCACGCCCAGAGGGCTCAGAAGACCCACCTCCTCTTTAAGATTAAGCGACGAAGGCCGCGATTGGAGGCTCGGGCGGTGACGTAACTTTCCACTTTGGCCGGCCTTCCGCGCGGGCGGCTCTCAGGAGGGGCTCGGGGAACATTTAGCGGGGTTCCCCGGTCCCTCGGCCCTTGGAAGCGCGATGAGGTCGGTTAGCTACGTGCAGCGCGTCGCTCTGGAATTTAGTGGGAGCCTCTTTCCGCACGCGATATGCCTCGGAGACGTCGATAACGACACGGTCAGTGCATGCGCACTGCGAGACGCGGCCTGGCTCTGCGGAGCCGCTCAGGGTGGGACGGGCCTGGGAAGTGCAGGAGCCGCCCGCGGCGTGGGCGTGCGCGTCGCGCCTGCGCGGTGGGGCTGGCGCGGTGGAAGGGGGGGCTAGGGGAGAGGTTCTGGGGAGGTTTCTTGCTGGACGTTAGGACCGAATTGCTCGGGTTCCCTGGTCTGGTGTTCTTTTAGGGGCATATATAACTGATGCTTTACCTAAGTTAGTAACTTGTTCACAGTGGGAGCCTGGTAAGCTGGTGGCCAGAGGTCCTGGTTCATTGCTTCTGTCGTGATGCCTTCTCCAGGGGCATCACCTCTCAAGTCATTTTACCTTCCGAGGCCTCAAAAATCAGCTTGCAGCGTGCCTTTGCTGCTCTGACACGTGCCCCTTAGGCTGGATTACACAGTTGTGCTGTACTTTTCTGCCTCTGCGGGCCCCAGCCTGGCAGGGTTTCTCTAGCCTGCTCCGTAGAACACAAGGGCCTGGCAACTTGAAAGCGCTACACCTTGGTTGAATTACAAAAACAGTTTACATCTACCGTTTCATCTCTCCCCAATCGTTGTTTTCCTCGTTGTTAAAATGAGTTAATACAGAAACGTAGCTATTAGTGTTGTTAATATTTGCTTCTGTTTTTCCGCAAATACTTACTCAGCTGCCCATCGTGTGACAAGGGCTGTGCTATATTCTGGGAATTCCAAAATGAACTAGACAGTCCCAGCCCTCAGGTGGGGTGATGGTCACAAGAATAACAAAATGTAAGGAGGGGCAATGATTAAAATATGTAGAGTTTTGGGGTGGAGCATCAAAGGAGCTGTTGCTGGTGTGAGACACTCTTTTTAACAGACTGTGTTTTCATTCATTATTTCATGTGTTGTTTTTTTTTTTCAATTTTATGTATTTATTTGTTAGAGAAATATCACGAGTAGGCAGAGGCGGGGAAGCAGGCCCCTTCCCGAGCAGAGAGCCCGATGCGGGGCTCCATCCCAGAACCCTGAGACAAGGACCCAACCCGAAAGCAGAGGCTCAACCCACTGAGCCACCCAGGCGCCCCCATAGTTTCATATTTTTAATGCAAATCACCGTATTGCCATCCTGTCCTACCCTCTGCCCCATCTCCCTATTCTGCCTCCTTACTTATTCTCATCCCCCCCTAACTGTTCTGTGCTCTCTTCTCTGGAAAAAAACAAGACCTAAAACATCCCCCCGCCCCCCCGGCTTTGTGCTGTGATAGAGAAGATATTTTATGAGGCCTCTTTGGCTGTCTTCCCTGGAGGGAGGAAGGAGTTATTCTCATAAATTTGTATTGTTTTCTGGGCTTTCACATTTCTTCATATGCCAAGCATTACAATTTTATGAGAAAATCAAGAGAGACATTTTCAAATAGTAAATTAACAGAGTGACTTTAGGTGTGCATTATTTTCTGTGTTATCTGATTGTCCTCTTTGTTTAAAAGGGAAAAACACATGCCTTTTTTCATAGCTTCACAATATCAGCTTTTTTTGGAAATTGAACTTTTCTAAGTGGATTGCACTAATACACTTGGTTCTGCAATATTAGATATATTGTACTACTTTTTTTTTTTTTTTAATCTGAGTTGTTAGCTTCATAAGGATAGGAATTTTTTTTTTTTTAACATATAATGTATTGTTTGCCCCAGGGGTACAAGTCTGGGAATCATCAGGTTTACACATTTCACAGCACTCACCATAGCACCTCCCCTCCCCAATGTCCATCCCCCAGCCACCCTAGGATAGGAAATTTTTGTTTTTTCACTGCTATATTCCCAACACTTAGGATAGTGCCTGGTACATAGTAGGCACTCATCAAATGTCTGTTGAATAAATGAAGGCAGTTATGGAAAGCAAATGTGATTATGTCTCTGGAAGCAGTTTGAAGGGCTTTGCCGGTTATTGATAAATATAACGGAAAGAAGGGCACGTAGTTGAGATAGTTGCCTAGTGATTGTATGTGGTACATTCAGCCTGCATGAGTGTGGATAGAAATTCTGTTACTGGTTCCCCAGGCTACCATTCGGAGATCTGGGGCAGGAAAACGACTTATTTCATCCTGATAAATCAATAGCCTAAAGTTCTTTGAAAACTAATTTATTTCCTGGTAAGTTGCGGGGAGGGGAAGGCAGAAATAGAATGCACACCCTCTTGGACTGACCACAAAAGCCTGGCTACTGGAAGGCTGCAGCAGATCAAAGACCTTGCCGCCTCTCTCCTTGAGTATTTCTGGCGATGGCACTCTTCATCTGGGGCGCTTTAGTGTCAGTGAGTGATCTCCAGAGGCCAGAGCCAGGATCAGCCACAGAGAAGAGGAACTGCTGGGAAGCATTATAGCTCTGGGAAAGCAGATGGGCCACTTTAGAAATGTCCCCTTTCCAGGAGACAAGCCATTATCTCATTGTCATTCCCTGGCTGGGTCACATCTACTTGCTCACTCTACCTACCGCACCGTATTTTTATTTTATTTCTGTGTCTGTGCCCTTGTTAAACGGTGAGGTTCGGCAGGGAGTCTGCGGCATTTATCTTTCTACCCCTAACTCATTGTCTAGCTTTACCTGCGAACTCAAGGGCTGGCTGAGCTTTCTCTTTCATCCTGATTTTTCTTGTTTCTGACAAAAAAAATCTTTAAAAAAATTTTTTTATTTATTTATTTTTAAAGATTTTATTTATTTGAGAGAGAGAGAGAGTGAGCATGAGCTGGGGACAGGGGGCAGGGGGCAGAGGGAGAAACAGACTCCCCACTGAGCAGTATGGACTCAATCCCAGGATCTACCACCCCACCCACCCCCGGCCCAGGATCATGACTAGAGCCAAAGGCAGTTGCTTAACCAACTGAGCCACCCAGGCGCCTCCTCCAAAACCTTTTTTTTTTTTTTTATTAGTCCATTAAGTAAACCTTTATTGAGGCCCTCTTATGGACTACAGCATTTGCTGCATGAATGTATTAAAAAGAATGGACTGTAGGGTCCCTGGCCTTGGAGGGATTTAACCAGAGGCTAAAAACTGCCTGGTGTTAGTGCTCACGCTATGCTAGTCACTGTTACAAAGGCCTTGTGCTGTTAGCTCGATTCTCGCAACAACCTTATGCGGTAGATACCCTTATGATCTTTGTTTTATAGATGAGAAACTTTAAGCATAGGAGCAGGATTCAAATCCAGGTAGCCACACTGAGCCTCTCTGCCACGCAGGTGCTGTCCTGTGTGTCTGCGCAAGTCCTCTGGGGCAGACGTAATGGAAACATGCGGTGGAGAGAGTTTAATGTAGAAAGCACTTACTTTATGCTTCTGTGATCAGATATTCCCACCAGAAACTCCTGTAACTATTAAAAAAAAATCAAAGATTCAAATCAAGTAAATCATTATTAATAAACCCCAGTTCATTTTCAACTTTTCCTTACTGTTGATGTTATGTCTATGTTGCCTTTAGAATGAAAGTTCTTGAGAGTCTAATATTCACTCTGTTTTGAGGATAGGAAAGAGGGGTTGGCTGGCCCCCTCCCCCCGGGAAAATCAGGGAGCTGTTTGTGGAAAAGGGCTTTGGTGCTACCTTGCTATCACTGATAGCCCCTGGAAAGGTAGCCAGCCTTAGGGCAACCGCTAGGAAAATGGAGTACCCAGATAGAAATAGAGAAGAGGCTTGGTACAGGGTGCCTCCTCCTAAGAGCTCGGCCACCACTTGAGGGCGCCAGAGGCCCAGAGCGTGGAGGCTGAGGCCCGCAAACCCCTCATGCTGTCCCCTCCAGCACCTCCGTCCCCTCCACGAGCACTCATACACACTGTGATCAGAAAGTCTTGCGAGAAGAAGGAGGACCCCCAGAGCTGACCTTGTCTTTTCATTTGGCGTGCGATTAAATACGTGGTCTGAAGTTCAGTTTTCCAAGAGTTAAATATCTTGGGTTGTTTTCGAAACATGTCCCATTGACAGTGGACAGTCAGGCACGCAGCCCCTGGGGCTGTTTCATTGTCAGACTTCTGGATGGGAAGGGTCATAGATGTCTTTCTTTCTGTCTCTCTTTTTAAAGATTTTATTTATTTGACACAGAGAGAGATCACAAGTAGGTAGAGAGGCAGAGAGAAAGAGAGAGAAGCAGGCTCCCTGCTGAGCAGAGAGCCCATTGCGGGGCTCGATCCCAGGACCCTGAGATCATGACCTGAGCCGAAGACAGAGGCTTAACCCACTGAGCCACCCAGGAGTCCCAGGGTCATAGATTTCTATATTGCCCCATTCTGCTAACCTCCCCTGACACACACCCACCCCTACAGGGAATTAAAGAAACTCTGGGAAACTGTGCTGTTGTTGGTTGCAGAGGACTTTTTCTTTCTTTCTTTTTTTTAACTAAAAAGTTAGTGAAGATGTAAATTGAGATCTTGTGACGTCCCTAGGAGGGGCCCCATAGAGAAAAGTTTGAGGTGGTTCCCTAAGATCCCATTCTAACTAACCCTGTCTTCTCTCCCTGTTTGAAGTTAAATGAACTGGTGGTGGGGGACACCAGCGGGAAGCTGTTCGTGTATAAGAGTGATGACAGCCGGCCGTGGCTCACCTGCTCCTGCCAGGGCATGGTCAGTGTCCGACTCCCTGGGGCTCGAGGGGCAGAGGGATCCTTCCTGTCAAGGCTAAGCCACCCAGGAGCCCACCAGTGTGTCCCCAGTTCACCAGCTCCTCAGCCCAGCTGCTGTTTCGGGGTTCATTAGATTCAGGGAGGGGAGCCACCAGGCGGCGCACTCCCAGCTTCTGGGCTGGTTTTTATTTTCTGTTGAGGAGTGGCTCCCTTAGTACTCCAAAGCTGCCAAGGTCATCTGAGCTTATAAAGTATAGTAGAAAATGGGGGGCAAGACTTTGAAGAAGTCTAGAAGTAAACTGGCTATCCTGATGTGAAACTTCTGTTCAGCCCAGACCATCTTCACCACTTTAGGTCTTCCTGTTGGTGTCTGGGGTAGAACCAAACCCATCGCGCAAGAACTCCGTTAGCGTGAGCTATCAGTGTAGGTCACATGGCACAAGTTTTCAGCGAACACTGGTAGCGAACCTCTCCTTGCTTCCTGGAGTTTAAGGAGTACTGGCCTCCTTCAGCGTGTCTCCCCTTTTCTTTGCAGCTGACTTGCGTTGGGGTCGGAGATGTGTGTAATAAAGGAAAGGTAAGAACCCTATGGGATGTTGGGACTTCGGTAGAACTCCAAGGCTATACCTAGATTGACCCCCATCTCCTGGTAGAAACCAGTTGAGTGTTAAAGGCTTCAGCCCTCTCACTTCTGTGCTTTAGTGATGAGGCTCGTGCCCCAACTTCCCCCCCCAGTTCATCCCTCCCATGCCTCTGCTTCTCCCAGAACCTGGTAGTGGCGGTGAGTGCCGAAGGATGGTTTCACCTGTGTGACCTGACGCCTGCCAAGGCCCTGGATGCTTCTGGGCACCATGAGAGCCTGACGGCAGAGGAGCAACATCCAGTGTTCAAACAGCATATCCCTGCCAACACCAAGGTCATGCTGATCAGCGACATCGGTGGGCATGGCCGTCTGCAAGCAGCCGGGGGAATAGGAGTCGATGGGTAGTAGAGCCGATCTCAAGGGATTCAGGGAGGTAGTTAGCGTTCAGGTGTGCAATTATTATGCATTTTATGTTGAGTTACTGAGCTCCCATTATAAACTAGGTGTTGTTCTAGGCAGTGGGATTGCAGCAGTGAAAAAAACAGACAAAAGTCACTGCCTTCTTGGACCTTTACTGGGAAGGGGCGCAAGAAAAACAGTATAAAACATGGTAAGAAAATGAAGTCCTATTTGAGAAGGTCGGATGTGCCATGGAGAAAAGAAACCACAAAAAGGGGCTAGCAAGTGTCAGGGCAGAGAAGTGGAGGTACCAGTTCTAAATGGAGCTGGTGGGGAAGCCGTTGCTGGGAGGGTGAGATTTGGCCAGACACTGAAGGTGGCAAGGGAGTGAGCCCTGCAGATACAGGGCTTGATGTTCTGGCCGGAAGCTGCCCGGCAGGCAATGGGAGGTACGTGGCGTGAGTCGGGACACTCGGGTTGTGTATCTGACAGCAGTAGCAGGAGGGAAGCCGTGATAGGACCTGCGGAGCAGTTGGGTGGGGGGTGAGTGTTCCACGCGAAGGAAGGCAGGGGAGCAGGTGCAGACACAGTGCTTGCAAGTTCACATCGGGTGTGAGGTTGTGGTGTGTGAAAGTGCCAATAGTGGTGATGGTAGTGGAGAAGCAAGGAGGACACGTGTGAAGGATGCAAGCTCGTGACTACACATTCGGCTCCAAACACATCTGTCTTTCTGGATCTGCAGATGGAGACGGGCGTTGCGAGCTGGTGGTGGGTTACACAGACCGCGTGGTCCGCGCTTTCCGCTGGGAAGATCTGGGCGAGGGCACTGAGCATCCCATGGGACAGTTGGTGTCCCTCAAGAAATGGACACTGGAGGGTCAGGTGAGAGGCTGAGTGTGGGGCTCAGGGGCCTCAAGGGGCAGGGAGGAGGTCCCCTCCAGGAAAGGGAGCACAGTCATGGGCCTGGGTTTAGGGTGGGAGAAAGGGAACATGTCCTTGTTGAGAGAAATCCGAAGAAGAGAGTTTCAAATCAGGGTGTGAGGGGCAAGTGACTAACCATTGGCAGAGAGGAGGGAGCACTGGGAAACGAGGGCGCAGGTGGTGTGATGTGCTCTATGGCACGGCCATAGGACGTATGCACGTGGAGGGCAGGTGGGCTGTATGGAGAGAATGGAACCAAGCAGGAGCCCCATGAGCTTGCATTATTCCTCCTGCTCCTGCCCTTGAAGCCCGGGGCACTGTTTCCAGGGCCCCTACCCCACGCTCTCCCCTGTTCTCTGCAGGGTCCCACTTCTGTCCCAGCCCTCTGTCAGCCCCTGTTCCCTGGTGCAGGTGGACAGTCTCTCGGTGACTCCCGGGCCCCTGGGTGTGCCAGAACTGATGGTATCTCAGCCGGGCTGTGCTTACGCCATTCTGCTGTGTACCTGGAACAAGGACACCGGGCCCGCCCCCACCTCAGAGGGAGCCCCGGAGGGCAGTAGGTAAGGGTGCAGGCCCGTGGACGGCATGGGGTGCGTGGAATCCAGAGGGGCTCCCAGATTCCCGTGGAGGCAGATGGGTGTGAGTTGACAGAGCTGCTTCAGCCGGGCCCCAGCGTGGCACCTCTTCCCCACGACGGAAGATTATTTGGGGACCCAGGGAATCCTAGGCTTTCACCTCGTAGCACCTGGAGGAGTTTCCAAGATTCTAACTTGGCAGCTCTGTCTCTCTCTTTTCTTCTCCTTGCCACGTGGGCCAGACAAGGCTCAGCGATCAGTGTCCAGGCTGGTTCACATCCTGGGAGCCCGTACAGAGATCGGGGCTAGAAAAGTACTGGAGAACGAGGCTCACTTGATCCCCACTTAGTACCCCCCTCCACCCCACACAGAGACACCCTGGCTGCCCGAGATGTTATGTTGCACCAGACTTCCGGCCGCATCCACAACAAGAACGTCTCCACCCACCTCGTTGGCAACATCAAACGAGGTGAGGGTGGGCTGGGGGCGTGAGAGGGAGCCCAGGGGAGGGGCCAGCATCGGTCCTGAGAGAGGGGAGCCGCAGGGCCCTCCCTTTCTGCCGGCCTTGGACCGCCCCTCATCCTGTACCCTCTGACCTTGCCCCGCCCTTCACCTTTTCTTCTTCCCATCCTTCTGTTGCACCCACAGGCCACACCGCTGAGAGGGCTGGCTCTGGCCTCTTTGCCCTCTGCACTCTGGATGGTGAGTTCCTGCTGGGGTCGGGGGCAGCGTGCACGAGGGGTCCGCTCAGGGGTCCTCCATGCCCACCCCGGCCTGCCTGTTCTCCCCCCCGCCCCCGCCCCGCAGGGACCCTGAAGCTGATGGAGGAATCAGACAAGCTGCTGTGGTCGGTGCAGGTGGATCACCAGCTCTTCGCCCTGGAGAAACTGGATGTCACGGTGAGGGGAGCAGCCTTACCTCCCTGACGCGGAGAGATGAGATTTAAGCGAGACATCCTCCCTTCACAATTCCCTCCCCGTCTCTTCAGACGGACCCTAACTGCGTCTCAGGTGCGTCTGTCTGCCCGTATCCCTCTGCGCCCAGCCCCGTTCCCTTCCCGGCAACACGGTGCCTGCACCAGTGGTTTGGCAGCGGTAACGGCTCTAACGAGAAATAAGTTACGAGGGTCCAGAAGTGAGTTCTTCGCCCCCTACTCCTTCTATCATTTTTTTCTCGTCTGTCTACAAGCCCCTCTTTACTAACGCTGCGGCCCCCGCAGCCTGCACATGGGGCCAGACTTGTGCACGTGTGATGGTTAGGCGAAGAGGCCCAAAGCTTTAAAGCCGGGAGACCAGGCCGGGTTTGAGCCCTGATTCTGTGCCATCTCCTTTCCCTGCTGCGTGACCGCGTGTGAGTGGCTTCACTTCCATCGGCTGAAGCTTCCTCCGTAGGAGACTGGGCGTACTGTTGCCCCCATGGGCTCTGTGGCCACAGACTCGAGGAGCGAAGTCAGTAAGAAACTTAGGCTCATTTTCTTTGCCGGCTGGCTGTTCAGCACACAGGGCCAGGTGCGCTGCTCCTTTATCTTTCATCTAGGCCCCATCATGAGGGCTTTTGGCACAGCAGCTGCTGGTCACCCCTGCAGCCTGGTCTCTGGCCTTTTTTAGGGCAACGGGCATGAGGAGGTGGTGGCCTGTGCCTGGGATGGACAGACGTATATCATTGATCACAACCGCACCGTCGTCCGCTTCCAGGTGGACGAGAACATCCGAGCCTTCTGTGCAGGTGGGACCCTGGCCCATGGCCCCTCTCTCACCACGCTTGTCCACCCCTGTGTCCACTGTCTCCGCCTCCCCTAACTTGAGTCTTCATAAACAGACGAGTTCTTCAGCACTTATGTTAGAGGGTGACGGTGGGTACTAGGTTGCCATCTGTATAGGTTTTTGTTTTTTGGGTTTTTTTTTTTTAAGCACAAGCAGAGGGAGGGGCAGAGGGAGAAGCAGGCACCCGCTGAGCAAGGAGCCCAATGCAGGACTCGATACTAGGACCCTGAGATCATGACCTGAGCCAAAGGCAGACGCTGAACCCACTGAGCCACCCAAGCGCCCTTTACAGTTTTAAATAAGGAATAAAGGAGAGTGACAGACCCATCCCTGATTATCTTCACGAATGCACTGAGTTTGGAGCATCTGGTGGCTCAGTCAGTTAAGCATCTGCCTTATGCTCAGGTCATGATCCCAGGGTCTTGAGATTGAGTCCCACGTTGGACTCCTTGTTCAGCAGGAAGTCTGTTTCTCTCTTTGTCTGCCACTCCCTGACTCACTCTCTCTTTCTCTGTCTCTCTCTCTCTCTCTGTCAAATAAATAAAACTTTAAAAAAAAGAGAGACTAATTTAAAAAAGAATGGGCTGAGTTCTTATCACCTCTCTGTCTGGGATATGTGAAGACACTGGAAAGTTCCTTCCCATCTGAGCGTGTCAGAACTTGGTGAGGAACATTCTAGAGCATTGGCGTTAGTTCCAAATCGAGGACTTGAAAAGCAGCACTGGCTCTTGCAGGGAACATGGGGATACCTTTGGTTCCTGAGGTGCTAAGAATTACACAGTGCTCTGGGGTTCATTCTCCAATGTCCTGAAAGGTTAAAATGCCTTTGAAGAAGGAACTGTGGCCATCAAAGAGAAGCCTGAGTTTCTGATTGTGTTTTACTCATCTACCCCTTGGACTACCAAGACTCCCCTTCATTCCTCCAGGGCCATCACTCAGATGGGGACATCAACAACTATCACTTCTAGGGTACTATCCTGCCTGGTGTTTTTCCATCTGAAATAGGCCACGTATTTTACGTGTTTTGTTTTGTTTTAAGATTTTATTTGTTTGACAGAGACACAGCGAGAGAGAGAGCACACAAGCAGGGGGAGAGGGGGAAGCAGGCTTCCCACCGAGCAGGGAACCCGATGCAGGGCTCGATTCCAGGACTCTGGGATCATGACCTGAGCCGAAGGCAGCCGCTTAACTATTGAGCCACTCAGGTGCCCCCTATTTTACCTATTTTTCTGAGTTCCCACTACAGACAGAATAGAAAGTGGGCCTTCGGTTTTTGGCCCGCCGTCTATGGAAGGGTGGGAATGGCTGACTCCAAGGTCTGCATCATAGGCTCTGCCCTTCCCCACTGGGACTGGAACCCCCTGACCTCCGTCCCATCCCCCACACCCCTCAGGCCTCTATGCCTGCAAGGAGGGCCGCAACAGCCCCTGCCTCGTGTACGTCACGTTCAACCAAAAGATCTACGTCTACTGGGAGGTGCAGCTCGAGCGGATGGAATCGACCAATCTGCTGAAACTGCTGGAGGCTGAGCCAGAGTTCCAGAACCTCCTGCAGGAGCTGGGCGTGGGTGAGTCCCAGGAGGGCTCACGGCTGGGGCAGCCCTGTGCCAGGCCCCCAGGAGATCCCCAACCTCTGACCCACCCCTTTCCTGTCCTCAGATCCTGATGACGTCCCAGCCGTCCGTGCCCTGCTTCACCAGACCCTCTACCATCCGGACCAGCCACCCCAGTGTGCTCCTGCAAGCCTCCACGATCCCACCTAGCCGGACTTGCCCTCTTAGCTGAAAAAGGAGCCTCCTGAACCCCCCCCACCCCCGGGTATCCATGGTGCTGGCAGAATAGGGAGCAAACATCACAGAGGGGCATGGAAGGATGGCAGCCATCCTGGGGGGCTGTGAAAGAAGAGACGAGTTGGCCTTCTGTTCGTTTCCTCGTGTACTTTACCCATCACATCGGCAGAATCGTAGGACCCCCACCTCGTTCCACATATGAGGGACCACTCCCTCCCCGCTGGAGCTCCCCATTCTCCTTGTATGGCAAACAAGCATGTTTGTGAGCCAGGAGCACAGATATTTTGCATGGCTCCAACGCTTGTAACGAAAGCAGGCTTTCGGGCCAGTGGAGCAATGAGTTAAGGGCTTTCCCCGGTTCCAAGCTCCATCTTCCCTGGCACAGCTCCAAGTCATTGGCATCCGTAGTGATTACAGGAATGGCCCAGTGTTTTGCTTTTGAAGACGGTCTTTCCGGACATTTTACACTCTGGTCTTCACTGTTCCCACAACCCTGAGATGATTTTCTTCTGTTTATCAATGAAGCCTGGTTAGCACTTCCTCATTTTGCCGTGTTCTTTAAGTAGTTTGTGGTTTTGTAGGCCTTGCTCCCTTTTTCCCCCAAAACACCTTGTCTATGAGACAACAGACATTTGAAATCTGGTGCAAGTTTAGGAGTCAGACCACAACCAGAATTGTATCTTGGGCCAATTTTACCACTTTTGCCCTCGATTCTGCACACTCCCAAGCCAGTGTTTTTTCACATTACAGGTTGCCGTCCTGTGGTGGGTTGTGGTCAGCATTTTTTGGCTGAACGAAATAGGATAGAATAAAGTAGTGTGAGAAATGTCAGAGTATATTGCTCGCAGTAGGAGAAGAATTGTTTTGTTACAATTGTGTGTGTGCTCTGAGTACAATGTAAAATGCATTTCCGGCCATGAGTTGTGCTCCAAGGAGTTTGAAAGACCTTGCTCTCAATTATCTCGACCGAGCCAGACTGATCGAGCTGGGGAAAGGCCCACATTCACATCGCCTTTCTGGAAGGAAATCAGGGCAGAGTTACCAGTGCAGACTCTGAACAGCATGGAGGAAGTCCAGAGAAGGAGACCAGCATAGAGAAACAGGTGTTTATTCAAACGGACAAGCAGCTGAGCTGCAGCCCAGCCCCTGGGTCCGGGGTCTGCAATTATAGAAGCAGCAAGAGGCAGAAGGGAAAAGGCAGCGCCAGGAAAGCAGAGGTGCTGGGGCGAGGCAGGAGGCACGAGGGGATCCTTATCACACATGCGCCCCGTCTGCTCCTTCTGAGGGCAGGGGACGCAGCAGGGAGAGGCAAGACCGGAGGTCAGAAGGCAGCTGGGTGGTAGCCTGCTTCTCTGATCTACCCCGGGCTCCAGACTGTGTTTCCACTCCAAGGACCCTGGTTTCCCAGCTGAGGTTAGTTAAACCACTCTCTTCCTCTGCCCTGAATCCGTGACCCGAGAGACTGACACGAGCCCAAAAGGCACTCAGGGGTCTGGCTTCTTTTTTTTTTTTTTTTTTTTT